TTCCCTTCAAGGCTCAGGGGTCCAGGATTATCTTCTGTGTCTGTGTTAGTTGGTTTCCCTTTTCTTTGTTGAAGAGGGTCTGTGCAGTCTTTCTGCCTAGTCCACCATCTTGCTGGAACTCCCCCCTATAATTCTTTTAGATCAAGTTACCTGCGTCTATTGCCATTCCTCAGGAAAGTACCTATTCATTAAAAGACCGATGTACGAACATTAAATACTGCTACTGATCATTGTATTTGTAAAGATACCATTTAAATTGGTTATGATTCCTTAACGTCAAGTGAAGTGGCAGAAAGTACTACATCTGGGCTGTGGTGTCAGGGAGCACTGGCCTAATCTCCTTTGCCTCGTCTCACATCAAGTAGGGAAGAAGGGGACAACCATCATTCTTCCCTATCTAAGTTACTCCTCCCTCCATTGCTGGAGATAATTTGGTACAAATGAGTACACGGTGTGCTCTCATTAAAACGGCATTGTTTACAGTAGCCCCAGTGTGCAAGAAGACCAAACCCAAAACCAAGCCCACTGCCATCCATGGTGATTCCAACGCATAGCAACCCTTTAAGACAGAGTGGAACTGCCCATAGGGTTTCCAACGTTATGAATCTTTACAGAAGCAAACTGCCTCATTTTTCTCCCACACAGTAGCTGGTGGATTCAAATTGCTGACCTTTGTTTAGCTGCAAACGCTTTAGCCATTGCACAATGAAAGCTCCTTGCAAGAAGACCAGGGAAACATAAAATGCTTTTTCTGATTTTTCTCACCAATTTCAACCAGCGTTTTCTGGTAAGAGTGACATGTGTTGTTTCATAGAAAATTTGGGAAATACAGAAAAGCACAAGGAAGAAAATTAAAATCATCCACTATTTTCCCACCCAAATACAGCAACAATATTGTTAATTCTTCTAGTCTCTCTCTCTCTTTTTTTTTCCTGTACACAAAAAGGCACAAAAGATATAGTGACCTTTGAGAGTGGAGAATGCATAGTAGACAGTGACTTTTCTTCTAATTATTCTCCCTTCCCATTACCTGCTGCCACCTTCCCAGCAAAAAGTGAGATTTTTCAATCAGTGGAAATTGACAGAAGTGTCAAAATGCATGAACTCAGTCATGCCAACTGAGACGCAGCCACAAGGCAGAGTAAATGTCAAATGATCCAACCTCCTCAGGAAGAAAGAAGCAGGCGGGTGGTGCTGGCATTCCAGATTCTGGTTAGACCGGCTGCTGGCCTGCACTATTTCTAGTTGTCTTAGAGTAATGCTCTCTTGGGTTTTCAAAATCTCCTGAGCAGCTTCTTTTGTGGCTTGTGGTTAGTTCCCTCTTCCTGGAAGATGCTGGGCTCTCTCTGTCCCCTTCCTTTCTTCCTGGAAAGCTGCCAACCCAGCAATACTTTTGTGCTTTGTCCAGTCATTCCTTAAAGGTGTTTTTTGCTATAACTTGATGTCATCTTTCCATTTTTTCCTAAGTAATTGTGGGTAATTTTAGAAGTAGCTGGAAGAGCCGTAATCCCATCAGAGAAAGGATGCGACTGAGGCCTGTGCTCTGGGCCCACATGGGGAATGTTGGACTGTAACTGGAGAGCACCGCAGGCCCAGGAGGCAAAATGTTCCACAGAGCCCCTCTCATGCAGAATTGATCTGAACTGTCAACATTCAGCTCCTCTCATGGAGTATATACTTTCCTATGGATATATATATATACACTCTTGGCTTTAACAAACAGGAGTTTATTCTCTTACAATTTTGGAGGTTTTAAGTCCTTATTCCAGGTGCCAGGCTCGAGGGGCTGGGTGAAAGCCCCCGACCTTGGATTTCAGCTCCGCCTCTTACTCCCAACCCACTGAAGCTGGAGACATCTCTTT